CCTCTCAGGGTGACCTGGGTCAGAGAACCACTGTGGGGGAACAGAGCACCTTGTCATTGATCTGTTATTTGTTATTACCCCTATTTTTTGTTTTTGTTTTTGTCATTATTTGTTTTTTAGTTTCTATTTTTTAGGGGGTTTATATATATATACACATATATACACATACATACATATATTGCAGATAGATTGTAACTTCCATCAATGGAATTGTATGTATCACTTACAATCCCCCATATGTTTTTTCTCCGCATATATATATATATATATACATACATACATACATACACATACACATACATACATATATATATACATATCCTTTAAAAACAATTATTTTTCCTTTATTACTTTCCAACCCCACCACCTAATTGGAGTAAGCTAGTGAACAACAACGCTTAGGCCTTTACTTCCAGCTTATACAAACTATATACATTTTATGGACACAGTCAATTTTACAATAATTCAATTTTGTTTGTTTTTTACTCCTGAACTTCCTCTACCCTCAACCTCTCCGATCATTTTCATGTTGTCCATCCGGTTTGCCTCTTCAGTGGCTTGCGAAAGTATTCACCCCCCTTGGCATTTTTTCTATTTTGTTGCCTAACAACCTGGAATTAAAATGATTTCTGGGGGGTTTGTATCATTTGATTTACACAACATGCCTACCACTTTGAAGATGCAAAATATTTGTTATTGTGAAACAAACAATAAATAAGACAAAAAAACTGAAAACTTGAGCGTGCATAACTATTCACCCCCCCCCCCCCCCCCCCCCTTTTGCTGCAATTACAGCTGCAAGTCTCTTGGGGTATGTCTCTATAAACTTGCCACATCTAGCCACTGGGATTGTTGCCCATTCTTCAAGGCAAAACTTCTCCAGCTCCTTGAAGTTGGATGGGTTCATACCACAGATTCTCAATTGGATTGAGGTCTGGGCTTTGACTAGGCCATTCCAAGACATTTAAATGTTTCCCCTTAAACCACTCAAGTGTTGCTTTAGCAGTATGCTTAGGGTCATTGTCCTGCTGGAAGGTGAACCTCCGTCCCAGTCTCAAATCTCTGGAAGACTGAAACAGGTTTCCCTCAAGAACTTCCTTGTATTTAGCGCCATCCATCATTCCTTCAATTCTGACCAGTTTCCCAGTCCCTGCCGATGAAAAACATCCCACAGCATGATGCTGCCACCACCATGCTTCACTGTGGGGATGGTGTTCTCAGGGTGATGAGAGGTGTTGGGTTTACGCCAGACATAGCGTTTTCCTTGATGGCCAAAAAGCTAAATTTTAGTCTCATCTGACCAGAGTACCTTCTTCCATATGTTTGGGGAGTCTTCCACATGGTTTTGGCGAACACCAAACGTGTTTGCTTATTTTAAGCAATGGCTTTTTTCTGGCCACTCTTCCGTAAAGCCCAGCTCTGTGGAGTGTACAGCTTAAAGTGGTCCTATGGACAGATACTCTAATCTCCGCTGTGGAGCTTTGCAGCTCCTTCAGGGTTATCTTTGGTCTCTTTGTTGCCTCTCTGATTAATGCCCTCCTTGCTTGGTCCATGAGTTTTGGTGGGCGGCCCTCTCTTGGCAGGTTTGTTGTGGTGCCATATTCTTTCAATTTTTTAATAATGGATTTAATGGTGCTCTGTGGGATGTTCAAAGTTTCTGATATTTTTTTATAACCCAACCCTGACCTGTACTTCTCCACAACTTTGTCCCTGACCTGTTTGGAGATCTCCTTGGTCTTCATGGTGCCACTTGCTTGGTGGTGCCACTTGCTTAGTGGTGTTGCAGACTCTGGGGCCTTTCAGAACAGGTGTATATATACTGAGATCATGTGACAGATCATGTGACACTTAGATTGCACACAGGTGGACTTTATTTAACTAATTATGTGACTTCTGAAGGTAATTGATTGCACCAGATCTTATTTAGGGGCTTCATAGCAAAGTGGGTGAATACATATGCACGCACCACCTTTCCTTTATTTATATCTTTGAATATTTTGAAATAAGTCATTTTTTTTCATTTCACTTCACCAATTTGGACTATTTTGTGTGTGTCCATTACATGAAATCCAAATAAAAATCATTTTACATTACAGGTTGTAATGCAACAAAATAGGAAAAATGCCAATGGGGATGAATACTTTTGCAAGGCACTGTACATGCCATATCCCCCAAACTGTGCTCTTTTTCACCAAAGTACCCTTCTAATGTTAGTGTTTGCTGGTTAAATACCTGAACTGAAAGATATGCTTTGTCTTTTTGCACAATATATGGTGCAGAAACAATGTATTTGCATTTTTCACATGAATGATTATATAGAATTCCATGGACTGTGAATAGGCCTACATGTAATGGTCTTTATTTGTATATTTTTGGTTATGAATTTAAATGTCTAGTTCTCAGTATCCAGTATCACTGAAAATCATGTAAGAAGAATATTAAGGAAGACAAGAAATAGGAACTGGGTTTTTTTCAGAGTTTATTTGTAGTACCAATAAACTTTGGTAATTTAGCAAATTGTAGCAATAAAAATGCAAATCTCGACAAGGTCTCGGTGAGCTCGTGACAAATAAATAGCACAGTGATACTAATTTACAGCCTAATTTTCACAACAAAAAAAGACTACTATAAATGTCATAATCAAAGGACTTGGAAATGAATTATAATGCTTCTTCTTCTCACTACGTTACACTGGGATCTTTGCCTTTTTTAAATAAAGCTTTTCCATTTTTGAAGTACACACTTAGCATGTTGTCCTTTAATAAATAGATTGTTGTCCATTTCAACATGCAAAACTGCTTGGTTTTTGAGAATGTTCCACATATATTATATACAAACAAACACACAAACAAAACAAAATATGTTTTTAATCCTCTACGTCGTTCACAAACTCTCCTTAATATCACACATCCAAGAAGCTTAACGGCTAAACGTATATTATCAAAAATTATTTATGCTTGTTGTTGTAGTGTTGATAAAGAAACATGAACAACATCTACCAACTTTGTACATCGCAATATACCAATTTGGTCTTGTACATTGTTTTTTTTAGTGTATGCTTTTAGGAAAGGTTCACTTGGACACATGCTCAGAGAAGGTTCCCTGTGATAAAGCTTGGACACCTAGCTGGATGACTCTTTACTCCTCTACTGGTTTACTGACGTTTCAAAATCAGTGACTTGGACTATAACACATACACATTTTCCCCTTTTAGAATTCAGGTCAAACAAATATTCCCATTTCCTTATATATATACAAATGCGGACTTAAATAAGTCTTTTTCTGAGCATAGAGAGCAATGACATTCGTTTTTACAAACATCCCGCAGAAATCACTCCAATACCGTTCTTTAACCATGTTGTAGTTTAAACTCCCACTGCTTCTCCAATACAAAGGGGAAAGAAAAAGTGTCCAATTATGTCTTCAAGTTTGTCCTGCTCTCTTAGTTCCTGGCTACAAGCCAGTGGAGGTTATTGTTTATTTGCATGGTAGCTTTCCGTTTTTCCCCTTCTGTTATTTTCTTGAGGCTAAAACCTTGTTTTATGGCTGTACAGTTGTGTACTGAGTATCCCCTCACCCGCCCCCCCCCCCCGCTCCCTCCCTCTCTCCCTCTCTCCATCCCCAACCCCCCTTCGGTTCGGGGTCGACTTTCAGGAGGCAAAGTAGGAGCTCTGCATGGAGTAGAGACGGTCGATGGGGTTCCCCACCCGCACCTGCAGGGAGCCAATGTCGGACGCCGCCATGAAGCAGTCGCTGAGGCTGGTGAGGGACGTGTCGCTGTCGATGTCGTGGAAAATGGAGTCGTTTCCTGTTTGAGAAGACAAACAGAGCTATGAGTACGGCTATGTGAACTAGTTGCTCAAATAAATAAACAGACAGGGGGAGGGAGCTGTTTACACAGAAAAACAAAACTGATAAAGAACACTCCCAAAAGCCCCCCAACCCCACAAAAAACACAGTTAATGTTTGTGGTTTGGCCATGGCAATAACGCTAAATCAGCTGGGATGAACGTTCTCTGTTAATGGGGAGTGTGTGGGCTGAAATCTCTGATTGCACCTATTGCCACCTGAATCAAAGTGCTTCCAAAGCCTCAATAAAGATGGCACAGAACAGAAAATAATGAGTGTTACGGGTACACTGTGGGAACAGAACCAGAGAGTGTGTGTGTGTGTGTGTGCGTGCGTGCGTGCATGGTGTGTGTGTTCTTTCTCAGTCCATGGCACCAGTGTTTAATTGCAACGACGAGGAGTCTTTTCTCCTGGGCGTTGCTGGCTTTATTGGGCGCTTTGGATCTAAATGACACCGTTACATCAGGAGAGAGACAGCTTGATGGCCCATACATTTTTAATCAGACACACACATTATTGGTTAGCCATCGCAGCAATAAAACCAGTACGAGTGTGTGTGTGTGTGTGTGTGTGGGGGGGGGGGGGGGGATATGGGTCGTAAGAACCAAGGGTTTTTGTGAAGGATGACATCATTTGGGTGAGTGTTAGGAGAGGCGACAGTGGTGATGGTTTGGACAAAGCTGTAGCCTGAAGACCATCCAAGAGCATTGGTATACAGGATACCAATTCACCAAACAGACAGGAATCTTTAGGCCAATTGTACAATATGCTACACACCTATACAACTACCTGATGTCAGGGGTGGGGGGGGGAATTATCTCACAGGGCACTGTGTATTCAGCCATGCTATGTTATTCTTAGTATACAGTGTGCCTACATGATTCATAATGTGACCAAGCTAATTAGACCACTGTGTGTGTGTGTGTGTGTGTGTGTGTGTGTGTGTGTGTGTACACTGTCTGTGTGACTTGACTCTGTGCCGCTGACCTCACCGTATGGGTTCATGTGGTCTCCGGGCATCTGTGGCGGGGTAAGTCCATGCTGGAAGGGGTCGGCGCTGTAGCCGTTCTGCTCCATAGCCACTAGCTGCTGCTGCTGAGGGGGGCCCAGTGGGGTGTAGGAACTCAGCAGACCCTCCATCCGACCTGACATCACTTCTGGAGGGGACAGAGACACACAGGTGAATGTGTGTGGAAACAGAATATCTCTTCTGTCCTTGACCTATTGACCTATTGACCTATTCTTACAACCTGCTCTCCAGTGATTTGATTTGATTTATTAGGAGCCCCATGGCGACAGCTAGTCCTACTGGGGTCCGACATATAACGAAGATAACTAGGGCGGCAGGTAGCTTAGTGGGTAAGAGCGTTGTGCCAGTAACTGAAAGGTTGCTGGTTCTAATCCCCGAGCCGACTAGGTGAAAAATCTGTCGATGTGCCCTTAAGCAAGGCACTTAACCCTAATTGCTGATGTAAGTCGCTCTGGATAAGAGCGTCTGCTAAATGACTAAAATGTAAGACACTACAGACAAAATACTTCACAATTTACATACAGTGCCTTCGGAAGGTATTCAGACCCCTTGACTTTTTCCACATTTTGTTAGGTTACAGCCATATTCTAAAACTGATTAAATTGTTCCAATTGGAAGGTGAAACTTTGCCCCAGTCTGAGGTCCTGAGCGCTCTGGAGCAGGTTTTCATCAAGGATCTCTCTGTACTTTGCTCCGTTCATCTTTGCCTCGATCCTGACTAGTCTCCCAGTCCCTGACGTTGAAAAACATCCCCACAGCATGATGCTGCCACCACCATGCTTCATCGTAGGGATGGCGCCAGGTTTCCTCCAGATGTGACGCTTGGCGTTCAGGCCAAAAAGTTCAATCTTGGTTTCATCAGACCAGAGAATCATGTTTCTCATGGTCTGAGAGTCTTTAGGTGCCTTTTGGCAAACTCCAAGAGGGCTGTCATGTGCATTTTACTGAGGAGTGGCTTCAGTCTGGCCACTCTACTATAAAGGCCTGATTGGTGGAGTGCTGCAGAGATGGTTGTCCTTCTGGAAGGTTCTCCCATCTCCACAGAGGAGCTCTGGAGCTCTGTCAGAGTGACCATCGGGTTCTTGGTCACCTCCCTGACCAAGGCCCTTCTCCCCGATTGGTCAGTTTGGAGAATATTCTTGGTGGTTCCAGACTTCTTCCATTTTAGAATGATGGAGGCCACTGTGTTCTTGGGGACCTTCAATGCTGCAGACATTTGTTGGTACTCTTCCCCAGATCTGTGCCTCGACACAATCCTGTCTCTGAGCTCTACGGACAATTCCTTCGACCTCATGGCTTGGTTTTTGCTCTGACATGCACTGGTCAACTGTGGGACCTTATATAGACAGGTCTGTGCCTTTCCAAATCATGTCCAGTCAATTGAATTTACCACAGGTGGACTCCAATCAAGTTGTAGAAACATCTCAAGGATGATCAATGGAAACAGGATCCACCTGAGCTCAATTTCGAGTGTCATAGCAAAGGGTCTGAATACTTTTGTAAATAAGCTATTTCCATTTTTTATTTGTAATACATTTGCAAAAATGTCTAAAAACCTGTTTTCGCTTTGTCATTATGGGGTATTGTGTGTAGATTGCTGAGGATTATTATTTTTTTATCCATTTTAGAATAAGGCTGTAACGTAACAAATGTGGAAAAAGTCAAGGGGTCTGAATACTTTCCGAAGGCACTGTAGATTTAAAAACACTAACATGTGTGTGTGTGTGTGAGGAGAAGTGCTTGTGTACGCAGTTTCCAAAGTTTTCCGTTTGGATTGAAAGGTTCTCAGTTCACACTAAATGCGCTTAGTCACAACTTCAACACGTATTAAAGTCCCAGAGCTCATTTTGTTAACTACACTGGGTGACTGAGGCGGTTATTAAAGTCCCATAGCTGATTTAGTTAACTACACTGGGTGACTGAGGTGGTTATAAACCCATGGTTATTAGATCACATTATTGACATGGCAGCCCATTCGCAAACGGCATGACTTGTACTTTCGGAGGCGCTGAGCACTTATCTACTCCGTCTCTCATATCCTGTCCTCGATAAAGCACCACAGCCGTGGGGAGCCGAGCTGATAACACCAACACACTACCTCACACTTGATAACCCCTGGCTTTGATTTGATTTGATTCTAATCAACACTAACACCCAAATGACATCAGTTTTGCAACAATCTTTAAACATCTCAACAATATTCAATATCAAAAAGGCGAAGGAATAAAAATCCAGAATATAAACAAAAAATTAGCACGGAATCAATACTAGGTTAAATATGGAGACAAAACACCTGGATGCTTCTTAGCACTTTCAGCGTCTACATTATTTAGCAATTTTTATCCTAAAGCGCAAATGTACAAGTTGAATTATGTGTTGTATACTGCGACGCTATATACATATAGTTAAGCAATAAGGCCCTAGGAGGATATATACCCTGGTTTATAATTAAGCAATAAGGCCCTAGGAGGATATATACCTGGTTTATAATTAAGCAATAAGGCCCTAGGAGGATATATACCTGGTTTATAATTAAGCAATTAAGCCAGAAGAGGAACCACCCGGTCTATAATAGTCTATAGATACTGCTACCCTTAATTCAAACAGTGAGTTTCTGTCACAAATCTGCTGGGTTGGGAGTTTGATACTGGGCAGTGACCTCACGCACGCACGCACGTACACGCACGCACACACGTACAAACCCACACACGCACGCGCACAGTAATATCGCTAACAGTGGTGGTAGTGGGAGCGGAAGGTGTACGGGTCAGGGCTCTGGGGGATATTGGATAGTGGGTAATAATAACACATCATGGGACTGAAGCCTGGCTTTGACCCCTGTCCTGTCTCACCCTGGTCAGGACCATTCACCACTGGAATGACCCCTGTCCTGTCTCACCCTGGTCAGGACCATTCACCACTGGAATGACCCCTGTCCTGTCTCAACCTGGTCAGGACCATTCACCACTGGAATGACCCCTGTCCTGTCTCACCCTGGTCAGAACCATTCACCACTGGAATGACCCCTGTCCTGTCTCACCCTGGTCAGAAACCCTTCACCACTGGAATGACCCCCGTCCTGTCTCACCCTGGTCAGACCATTCACCACTGGAATGACCCCTGTCCTGTCTCACCCTGGTCAGAACCATTCACCACTGGAATGACCCCTGTCCTGTCTCACCCTGGTCAGGACCATTCACCACTGGAATGACCCCTGTCCTGTCTCACCCTGGTCAGGACCATTCACCACTGGAATGACCCCTGTCCTGTCTCACCCTGGTCAGACCATTCACCACTGGAATGACCCTGTCCTGTCTCACCCTGGTCAGAACCATTCACCACTGGAATGACCCCTGTCCTGTCTCACCCTGGTCAGGGACATTTTAAAGTGAAGGGAGAATTGAGGTTGTCGGGTGGTCTGTTGTGAGATCAGATTGGCTGTCTATGGATGGACGGATGGCTTCAGTTGAGAAGTGGTGTGACCTCTCTTAAAGCTGTTAGGCAGTATCTGTCAAGCGTCTCAGAGTAAGAGCGCTGATCTAGGGTCCGTTTTGCCTTTAAGATCATATTATATGGACAACGGGGACCTGTTCCTAGATCATCACTCCAACTCTGAGACGCTTGATACGGAGTCTCTCTGGCCTTGACTTGTGTGAGAGTTCTACTCAACTGTGACTTTGCTGATATTCTAGGAGTAGTCTAGTTACAGTGAAGTCTCATCATAAGGTATTCTAGGAGTAGTCTAGTTCCAGTGAAGCCTCATCATAAGATATTCTAGGAGTAGTCTAGTTCCAGTGAAGTCTCATCATAAGGTATTCTAGGAGTAGTCTAGTTCCAGTGAAGCCTCATCATAAGGTATTCTAGGAGTAGTCTAGTTCCAGTGAAGCCTCATCATAAAGTATTCTAGGAGTAGTCTAGTTCCAGTGAAGCCTCATCATAAAGTATTCTAGGAGTAGTCTAGTTCCAGTGAAGCCTCATCATAAGGTATTCTAGGAGTAGTCTAGTTCCAGTGAAGCCTCATCATAAGGTCTTCTAGGAGTAGTCTAGTTCCAGTGAAGTCTCATCATAAGGTATTCTAGGAGTAGTCTAGTTCCAGTGAAGCCTCATCATAAGGTATTCTAGGAGTAGTCTAGTTCCAGTGAAGCCTCATCATAAGGTATTCTAGGAGTAGTCTAGTTCCAGTGAAGCCTCATCATAAGGTATTCTAGGAGTATTCTAGTTCCAGTGAAGTCTCATCATAAGGTATTCTAGGAGTAGTCTAGTTCCAGTGAAGTCTCATCATAAGGTATTCTAGGAGTAGTCTAGTTCCAGTGAAGCCTCATCATAAGGTATTCTAGGAGTAGTCTAGTTCCAGTGAAGCCTCATCATAAGGTCTTCTAGGAGTAGTCTAGTTCCAGTGAAGCCTCATCATAAGGCAGAAGACCTGCCCAGCCAGTTCCCCTCTTGAGCACACACACAAAACACAGAAAACACACACACACACACACATATGCAACCACACGTGCACACGCATGCGCACACACACACAAAACACACACACACACACACACACACACCATAGACACAACTAGAGCAGCCTACCTTGGCCTAGCCTTTGGGAGTTCTGCTGTTCCTGTTGTTGTTGTTGCCTTCGGGCTAGCTTCTTCATCTACAAATAAAACACAATGCTGGTTAGTAACAGACGCAAACGTTTGACCAACATGTATAGACAATATGGCTCATATTTCAGTGAATCTTAGCCTGCGTCCCAAATGGCACCCTATTCCCTATATAGAGCACTACTTTTGACCAGAGCCCTTTTGGGGGCCATATAGTTCACTGTGTAGAGAAATAGCTAGTGCCACATGGGGACCCCGAATAGGGTACCATCAAAGTGCTCTAAAAACCATGATCATTGCAACTTGACTGTTGAAATGTTGGTTTATTAAAGTGATCGCATTGGAGCCGTTAGAGTGTATTTTTTTTTCTCCCTTAGATATCGTTCAGTAAATCTCACCTTGGCTCTCTGGTTCTGGAACCAGACCTGGACAACACGGACACTCAGGCCTGTCTCTGCCGCCAGCGTCTCTCTAACCTGGGGGGGGGGGGGTCAAAACAGACACGTTTAAAACCCCCCTCTTGTAACGCATGCTTATACAGGGAGTCAGAGGTAGCAGAAAGTATTTAAAATGCAGTATACTTTTTGATGGTCGATAAAATTATGTGTCTGAATATACTTGTTTAAATTCTTAATGACATTTTATTTCGATATTTAAGTAGTAATATCTTAGTAGTATCTTCTAGAAGTGGTAGACACATTGTTATTTGGTAAGACACAATAATAGTAGCAGGAAAAGCCTAAATTGAGATGGGGCTCTAAAGTTCATGGTTGTTTAAGACACAGTATTAAATTCAGTTCAATTTAATATATTCCTGACCAACATGGCTGCCATTATTGGAACATACTAGAGCTATGGAGGTCTATGACATCATCTCCTCTAGTAAATTATAGGATCTGTAAGGTTTCGTCAGACGGTAAGGCAGAGTGGTCACCTTCCGGCAGGGTTTGGAGGACACCTCGAAAGGACGCCTTGAAGGCTCTCCTCTGCTGGGTGGTCAGGATGGTGCGCGGCCGTTTGGGCCGGCGAGGGTCTTTCCCGTCGTCACTGCCCTTCCCCTGGCTGCCAGAGCCCTTCTCAGGCTTCCCGTCCAGCTCCTCAGCTTCACTCTTCTCTGCAAAAGGAAATACAACCAAAAAAGCATTGTCATTTGAAACATTGTTGAACAGGTTTTCTAAACGCAACACAAATGACGACTAACCCTTGACTACTACATCCAGCAGCAGATTTTTCTTTAAAATAAATGTGCAGAGGATACTGTTATAGAACCGTATGGGAAATAATCAATATTGATATACTCTGCATTGATAGGCATGGGTGAGCTTGTCTACAGTTGTCTGGTGATTTAAGTCTTGCCTTCTTTGGATAAAAACGAAGACAACAGTCATCTGGACATTGTGTGTTTCAGTGGAGTTCTAGCAGATGTTGTTGACAGAACTGAAACAGCATTGCCGTTTCTTTGACCGCTCTCCACTGTTTCAAATTACCCGTATCCACACTAGAGTATATAATGGAAGATCGTCTGTTCAATGGATCCCCTATGACTCATCATTTCCAGAACTTCCTTATTGTTATTAGTCAACTCTCAACTTCTTCCATTTAGCCAAATGTTTAACTCCGATCATGTATTTAATATAAATTACCTTAATTGTTGATTAAACACACACATTCACAATACTTTAAAATTAAGCTCCCTGGTTTTAATAATATCTGTATCCCAAATGGCATCTTATTTCCTATATAGTGCACTACTTTTGACCAAGTGCCCATCTCTTCAACAGTTTCCATACAGTAGTTGAAGTCATGGGATCGATGTCATCATCACCGTATAAAAGCAGAATAGATACAGTTTATGAGGATACCGTGCAGAAAAATTGTATCTTAACCATATGGTGCTACTAACCATACTGGTTTGGCAAGCTGCATCATTATTTTGAAAAAGCAAGAACCAGAGGAACAGATAGGAGGGGAAGCTCGCACGTCTGTGGAACAGGACCACAGCACCACTGTCTGTGGAACAGGACCACAGCACCACTGTCTGTGGAACAGGACCACAGCACCACTGTCTGTGGAACAGGGGCACAGCACCACTGTCTGTGGAACAGGACCACAGCACCACTGTCTGTGGAACAGGACCACAGCACCACTGTCTGTGGAACAGGACCACAGCACCACTGTCTGTGGAACAGGGGCACAGCACCACTGTCTGTGGAACAGGACCACAGCACCACTGTCTGTGGAACAGGACCACAGCACCACTGTCTGTGGAACAGGACCACACCACAGCCAACCACCTGTGGAACAGGACCACAGCACCACTGTCTGTGGAAACAGGACCACAGCAACCACTGTCTGTGTAACAGGGGCACAGCACCACTGTCTGTGGAACAGGACCACAGCACCACTGTCTGTGGAACAGGACCACAGCGCCACTGTCTGTGGAACAGGGGCACAGCACCATTGTCTGTGGAACAGGACCACAGCACCACTGTCTGTGGAACAGGGGCACAGCACCACTGTCTGTGGAACAGGACCACAGCACCACTGTCTGTGGAACAGGGGCACAGCACCACTGTCTGTGAAACAGGACACAGCACCACTGTCTGTGAAACAGGACACAGCACCACAGAAACATCAATTTCATCATATCCAGGGAAAATAGACTTTGTTATAAACTCTCTCTCTCCCTCTTTCTCTAGCACTTCCTCTGTAGCACTTAATACTACTTAAAATACTTCCTTGGTAGCACGTAATACTACTTAAAATACTTCCTCGGGTAGCACTTAATACTACTTAAAATACTTCCTCGGTAGCACGTAATACTACTTAAAATACTTCCCTCTGTAGCACTTAATACTACTTAAAATACTTCCTCGGTAGCACGTAATACTACTTAAAATACTTCCCTCTGTAGCACTTAATACTACTTAAAATACTTCCTCGGTAGCACGTAATACTACTTAAAATATTTCCTCGATAGCACTTAATACTACCTCGGTACATTTACATTTTAGTCATTTAGCAGACGCTCTTATCCAGAGCAACTTACAGTTAGTGAGTGCATACATTTTTTATTATTTTTATGTTTTATTTTTTTATACTGGTCCCCCGTGGGAATCGAACCCACAACCTTGGCGTTGCAAACGCCATGCTCTACCAACTGAGCCAAATCCCTGCCGGCCATTCCCTCCCCTATCCTGGGCCAATTGTGCACTGCCCCACGGGTCTCCCGGTCACGGCCGGGATTCGAACCAGGATCTCTAGTGGCACAGCTAACAACTGCGCTGCAATGCCTTAGACCACTGCGCCACTCAATACTACTTAAAATACTTCCTCGGTAGAGGAACACAAAATCCCTACCTACACACATGACTAGGAGGAAAAAACAACAACCAAATGGACTGAAGGGAGGGACAGAGGGAAAAGGAGAGTTGTCCTTGTATCTTTGCCTTTTACCTGAATCTGAGGCATCGGGGCTCATGGAGCTGAGCAGTTCCTTCTCCCGCTCGTAGTCGCACTTGCAGAGCAGCTGGCCCTCCTTGAGGACAAACTCGTCTCCTTTGCACAGCTGCCTCTCGCACACGCAGCAGCAGAAACAGCCCAGGTGATACACGCTCTCCAGGGCACGCATCACAAACTCAGTGGGAGATATCTTCTCCAGGCACCCACTGCACTTGGTGGCAAACAGCCTGGGGAGACAAGAGTGGGAGGAGGATAGGTGGTGGTGAGACCAGAGTTGGGACAGATTGTTGGAGTAGTCTAGAATGTATTTGTGACGACCAAATGGTTGTAACAACTACAGATATATTGTTCTAAGCTGTACAATTATTTCTACTATTTACTGCATGTATAATGTCAATCATAAATGTCAGATTTTATACTTGTTCCTGTAGAATCTAAAATAAAAATGTAACTGAATTTGAACTAAATCAGCCAAACAAACATTTGGACTAGTGTCAAAAAAAGGTTTAGTTAATTTTACCATTTAAAATTCAGTTAATAAAATCCCAGTGTGTTTGCTATGTGTGACAGAGTAGGACTGGGGCTCTGCCCCTCTACCCCCTAAGGCTGCGCTTGGCTAGCTGAGCAGGCTAGCCACTGCGACCCCTTAGCCTTTTGACACCCGCTCAACTGTAAAAGCGCAGCCGAACGCCCCCCGCCAATGCTCCGCTTGAGACTGATTGTGGGCAGTCAGTGGTTGGGAAACGGGGAGGGCCTTCGGGGGGGGTTTAGGGGGAAGCAGAGTGTTAAATGATTCGAGATGCTCCATTTGCATCGCAACAAGGCCAGCTCCCTGATGGGTGGGCAGCAGTAGCAGCATACCGCAATCCCCCCCCCCCCACCACCACCACCACCACCACTTATGTTTGTTCTTTGAACCTTTGAAGTCTCAAAAAATGCCATCGTAGCAGGACAAAATATTTTCGGGTCATCATGTGTGAGTCCCAAATGGCACCCAATTTCCTACATAGTACACTATGGGCCCTGGTCTAAAGTAGTGCACTGTATAGGGAATAGGGTGCCATTTGGGACGAACCACTGTATAGGGAATAGGGTGCCATTTGGGACGAACCACTGTATAGGGAATAGGGTGCCATTTGGGACGAACCACATACGATGACTCATAGGGAGGCGATGCCTCAAACCCAAATGTAGCAATACCCCTCCAGATACAACATGGTCTATAAAACATTTGAGCCTGAACAATGGTATAAACAGAATTAGATCTATAAAAGGACTTGTTGCAGTTATAGTAGGACAAAGCTGCATTAGCTAGTGGGATAGTTGCTGGACAACCAGATATCTGCAGCTCTTTCACAGCATGAGCCAGACAAGACCAGACAAGGGGAGCAGACTGCCATACACTTCCACACGGGACAGTCAACAGAGAGAAGACGTGACGGTGATGAACCACATAAATACCAGCGAGAAAAGAAAGAGGGATTGTCATGATGATAATGCCAGACGGACTAGCTGATTGAGGATCGATAAGCAAAAGCAGCACGTACGTTGCCGATCGCATGAGATGCCCATCATCGCCGTGGAAACGGGGCGTTCGCAGACGTTTCACCTGCTTATGTGCATCAGAGCTCAGATCTTTCCCAAAGTAGGGCAAATCCTAACTTCAGATTCAGGTGGTGATTCAGGAAGAGCAGATTGAAGATCAGGAACGTAACCTCTCACGACCTCTACAAGCCAGAATGTTGAATACAATTATATTTTAACTTACTTTACCGGTTGTCCGTGCGGTTGGTCCTTTTTCGTGGTAGGAATGTGAGACAATACATCCACAGGAAAGTATAATTACATCAACTTTTGAAAGTGCTGGTAGTGCGTTCGGATTTCTATCACCTGAAGCGCAGAACCATGTTGCTCGGCAGGTATGCATGCGTCTCGTGCATGCATTTTCATCTTTTGCGCATGCTTCAGTTGATAAAAATATGAACTCACTACCAACGCTTTGAAAAGTTGCTGTAATTATAGTTTCCTGTGGATATATTGTCTCACATTTCTATCGCCAAAAGGACCAACCACATGGGCAACTGGTAAAGTACGTTAAAATTGTATTAAACATTCTGACTTGTAGAGGTCGTGAGAGGAAACCTTCCTGATCCAAACGCTCATTTATGCCCGATGTTGAATCCAATGCAATTCAACGTCGGGTTTTCAGGCTAGGGACGGATGCAGCAGGCGTTGGCAGAAACCGTTCAGTAATAATCTTTAATCTACGATCCGAGTTTGATGACACATCTGAAAAGCCAAAGTGCTCTATAGAACAGAAAGCATTAGGCCCACAATGGCCTGTGACTAGTACGGGCACTAATCTCTATTACATCTTGACAACCAATCATCTATAACATTTAAAAAAATTAACAGGGATAAAATGATCCCATGTGCAAAACATTTGACCAAACAGTTATCCATACAACCTGAAACATCGGATCCCACTTCTGACACCAATTTTGACGTGTTGGAATAAAACTTCATAACACAAATACAATATGGGGGTAAATGGTCCCCCTGTTTCCCACAGATAGTAGCATGTCTGGTACTACTAAGTCTACATTGAACTTAATTACATTTGATTTATTTAGCCAGGATAGTCCACTCAGTAACAATTGCCAGAGTCCTGGCTTCCATACAACTACAGAACATGCTGTTACCAGCCGCCTCTCCCACAGGCAGCTGCTGCTCCATGCTGTCCCGAGTCCCAAACCAATTATCCTGCTTCATGAATATTACAGGCAGGTGCCCCAGCGAGGCCCGGGGTGGGACAGGGCTGAGGGTGGATGCCCCATGGTGTGTGTGGATTACAACCGGCTCTGACGTCTGCCTCGTGGCGGCTCCTTCGTATGATAATGACCGCAGAGACTTTGTTTAATAACGCGCTCAGCATCTGTAATAATCACTGCCCCCGAATCACAGCACCTCAGGGCTGATGGATACGCCAAGGGTATGAGAGAGAGAGAGAGAGAGAGAGAGAGAGGGGGAGGTTGGAGAGAAGGACTGGGAGAGAGAAATAAAATACAAGAGAGGGAGAGAGAGGGTAATAAAGAGAGCTAGAGAACCTAATTAAAATGCTTTCTTCTACAGGTCATTCTAGGGCTGGGCGATATGGGCAAAATATCTTATCACAGTATTTAAAACAAATTGGACGGTATTTGGCGGTATTTGGTGGTATTTGGCGGTATTTGGCGGTATTTGGCGGTATTTGACGGTATTTGGCGGTATTTTATGTTTTTAAAAGTTCTAAATTTGCTTTATGAGTCGTGCGAGACCCTAGGGTGGCAACACACACACACTCTAAGTGATTTCAAATGTGTCTTTCTCCATTCTGATTGTTTTATACTGTTCAATTCAACTTAAACCCAAACATGATTTTCAGCATTTTCATACATTTCTGCATTTACTGCGTTTATTGCACTCATTTGAGATCATTTCCACACTGCCACGTAGGGCTGTAACGATATGGGCAAACATTTACCAAATGTTGCAATTGCGATTTGACTTGTGATTTAGAGCAAAACACTTGGGTGAACTGTTGGAATCATGGAAATAAAATGATTATTCTAATTCTATATTTAGAATATAATAGTGGGCACTTTGAATACAGTGTTTGATATGACAACGAATTAAAATGCCAGGGAGGAGTTATTGTGACAGGGTAGGAACCAAAGTGTTTATAAGTGTTTCCTAGGGGACCCTATAATCTTTGGCTACATTGAATGTTCTCTCTTAGCTTCATAGCTAACATATTCTTGCTTCACGTATTACTCTTTGATTTAGAAGATACTGTTGCACAAACATGGTGATGTAGGTCTACACCATCCCTGGTATTATCAGGTTGTATAGCTAGCTACGTTTGCTCTGACTCAGTACATTTATTAACTAGCTAGCGATTAGCATTAGCGGCTAACAATTAGAGGCTAACAATATTTAGGCTCAACTTGCTATGAAAAAAAACAACTAGCTGTTTGCAGATGTAAGAAACACAAACTAATAGTGTAATTACAGAACACTAGTGGATTCGTATTAAGAAGCAAAGTGAAAACAGCGTCGTTTTCATCAACATTGTTGCATGTGCTGCATTGACCATGCATTGCAGACTGAACACAAGTGTCTCTTGGTCGAGGAACAACAATTTAGGTCCTTGAGCGACAGGGGGCGGGGCTAGGTCTGTGTGGAAAGCGGCATGGAGAGAGAGAGAGCGTAGAGAGATGACTCAAGTAGCGAAGTAAACTATAAAAATGGATGTTACACATGGCGTATCACATTTCACAAACCAAACATTCAAATACCGTTATAGAAGGTAAAGTAAAAAAACAAACCGGCCGGTGCATCAATACCGGTATATAGTCAAATACGGTATACTGCCCAGCCCTAGTTCATTCTCATAGCTTACAAATCTTCTCTTGACAAAGGCTTTACAAAGTATAGCCCTTAAGGATGGGACTATGTGTAACAGTGTTGCTTCCGTCCCTCTCCTCGCCCCTACCTGGGCTTGAACCAGGGACCCTCTGCACACATCGACAACAGTCACCCTCGAAGCACCGTTACCCGTCGCTCCACAAAAGCCGCGGCCCTTGCAGAGCAAAGGGAAACAAGTACTTCAAGGTCTCAGAGCGAGTGACGTCACCGATTGAAACGCTACTCGTGCGCACCGCTAACTAGCTAGCCATTTCACATCGGTTACATATGCATGCTGTCACAATCAGGCCAAAGTCATATCAGAATCCCAGTCAGCCAAATCAAATGGAATTAAAGGGTGAAAGGTTAGAACGGTGACTTCCATACAACTCAGGGAAGTGTTACAACCTCCCATCCGGATGGAATCAGTCTGGCTTCTATTCTATCATTCTATCAGTCTACTTTCTATTCTATAATAATATGCCATTTAGCAGACGCTTTTATCCAAAGCGACTTACAGTCATGTGTGCATACATTTTTACGTATGGGTGGTCCCAGGGATCGAACCCACTACCCTGGCGTTACAAGCGCTGTGCTCTACCAATTGAACTACAGAGGACCATTCTATCATTCTATCAGTCTGCTTTCCATTCTATCATTCTATCAGTCTGCTTTCCATTCTATCATTCTATCAGTCTGCTTTCCATTCTCTCTCTTCTTCTCTTGTCCTTTTACCAAACTGGCTAATCTAATCTAATCTTGTAGGACATTATTTTCCCACTTCCTCTCTCTGTCACCTTGCATTATTACGGGGCCTGTAATTCCCATTTGTCCCTTGAGGAATCTTTCTGTCCGGCATTGTTCCGGAGTTTAATCCAGACTTTTGCCCCAGTGTTGGGGGCCCCTGAGCTCCATTCTCAACGGGGTCGGTTCGGAATATCCATGCGTGACGCTCCCGCTATGGCAACCGACCCACCCCACCCTCTCCAGGAGGGGCGCGGGGGCCCGAGAGGAGAGAGAGGTTCACTGAAGCTGGTAGGAGAAGTAAAGCTGAAGAACTGAAGAAGGGGAATGAACAGTGAACGCTGGACTGGGGTGTGTGTGTGTGTGTGTGTGTGTGTGTGTGTGTGTGTGTGTGTGTGTGTGTGTATAGATCGGGGGTTAAACCCACCTCTTCTCTGTGCATGGCCCCCTCACTCAGACTCCTGCTGCTAGTCACAATCAAACAGGGTCGGCTCTCCAAAACAGAGCCCTTTGAATGACACAAGCACTGCACTGTGGGGGAAGCTAATCCCACTTTAATACCTTTCCAAGTTTGGCCTCTGAAGGAATCGCGTCTTTGAGGGGGAGGGTGAGCCTGCCTTGTCTGTATGAGCGAGGAGGGGGCTCGGGCTGACGTAAAAGGGAAGTTGGTTGCATCTCCCTCACCCAGAGCTGGTCTAATGACTCTGCAGAGGCTCCTACATTAACCCAGAGCTGGTCTAATGACTCTGCAGAGGCTCCTAGCCACACATTCATGATGCAGTGAAGGTGACCTATCAGAAGTCGAGCTTAATTATGGGTTGTTGGTTGTCGAGTCAATTATCCAATTCCAATTTCAAGTCTATATTTCTCAAAAAGGAAGTTATTTCAGAGTTTTGGGGACAGTTAGCTGGCTAACTCGTTGAGCCTGCTTTCTGGAACATGTAGTAAAGGGATACAATCAACCTTTTGAATCACTGGAACTGGCTCACAATGTAACAGTACTGTATATACAGCATACAAGTACTGACCAGGACACACAGTGATGGTGGTGACTAAAGTATTGACCAGGACACACAGTGATGGTGACTAAAGTATTGACCAGGACACACAGTGATGGTGGTGACTAAAGTATTGAACCAGGATGGTGACTAAATTGACCAGGACACAGTGATGGTGGTGACTAAAGTATTGACCAGGACACACAGTGATGGTGACTAAAGTATTGACCAGGACACACAGTGATGGTGACTAAAGTATTGACCAGGACACACAGTGATGGTGACTAAAGTACTGACCAGGACACACAGTGATGGTGACTAAAGTATTAACCAGGACACACAAGTCAACATAGGTCCTGTTAGTTGTTCGTCTGATGTCTGTGTGTTTGTTTGTGTCCAGGATTGATATAGATCCTTATCCATCCTCCAACCAACCCACCCACCCACCCACCCACACGATTTCACTGATATTAAATCCCCATCGCTTGTTTCTGAAGCAAGTTGAGTGCCATAACTAGGCTTCATTTTGATGAAGTTAGAGGCATAACATTGTCGTGTTTGCTCGGCTAACACACACACACACACAAACACACATTAGATATTTGGCTTGAGAATTGGTCTCGGTAGCCTCCCACCACCAGGTTTGCCCCAACGTCCCAGCAGCATCAATATTGACACAGGACGCTACCCAGCCCCTTCTCTCTCTACACGAGGAGTCTGGCTGTCTCTAGTCAGTCTCTGTTTGGGAATGGAGAGTTAATCCCCAAGGATGGCCGACAACAGACTCCCCGCTGAGATCATTGCTTTCTCTCTGGCTTTTCATCTCAACGTTTAATCTCCCTCTCTCTCTTTCTCTCTCGGTCTGTCTCTTTCTCAATCACTCTCTCTCTCTTTCACTCTGTTTCTCTCTCTCTCTCTCTCTCGTTTATTTGTGTGCCTTTTTCTCTCAAGATTGAAGACCTTAGGAATTAAATAGTCATGATTTGTTTTGGTGTTAAGGGTTAAGAATGGCCTTCTCAAAACCAGCATAAGTATATAAATACATATATCATGGTTCAAACTTTCTCATCAAGTAAAGATATAAGATGTAACTTAATGCATAACCAATATTATTATTATTATTATTATTATTATTATTATTATTATTATTATTATATTAAATATGTATTATTAAGAAAGTGTCAGACTACCTATGATGGGTCCTCATGCAGGTTATGGGTGGCTATGCAAGGTCCTAACGTGACCGTACGTACGAACGGCTATAGAATGTTATGGATGGCAATACAGTATCTGTGAATGCTCCATTTCTGAAGGCATGTCCAGTTGACTACTGAGATCTCTCTGATTCTCCTGTAGGCTCCATCTGGAGACAGACAGCAGACAGCACTGTCTTACCGCAGAGAAAGAGGAAAGAGAGAAAAAACCAAGGCTGCGTCCCAAATAGCACCCTATTGCCTATAGACACTACCTTTGACCAGGGCCCATAGAGCTCTGGTCAAAATGTGTCAACTTTATAGGGAACAGGGTGCCATTTGGGACGCAAGCCATGAGAGGTCAGTGGACCATTATGTTGACAAGTCAAAATATGAGAGAAAGCCAGCAGACAGTGGCTGCACTCTGTTATGGTCATCATTGGTAGAGGGACACCTTTCTAGTGGTCTTGCTGACGCTAACTAAAACGTATTTGATAAGCAGATGCTGTCCGTGTTGAGTGAGTGATTTTCAGTGCAATTATTTTTTGTTAACCCTTCTCAACAATTCTTTTCCCCTCACTCTTTTCAATGTCTCTTTGATGCTATAATGAACTCCGAGGCCTGCTCCCAGGGGGCAACAGCAGACTCCGAGGCCTGCTCCCAGGGGGCAACAGCAGACTCCGAGGCCTGCTCCCAGGGTGCAACAGCAGACTGGGGGGAAACGGGAACCTTTTCCGACCGCTCCCTCCACATCCACCTAATGAGTGAACATGTGTGCACTACAAAGTGGCCAAGGTTGTCATTAAATGCTGCAGTAGCTTCAAATGGGGTTTTCTTTTAGATCTGGGATATTACTGGACCAAGATGGTTCTTTATGGAAAATGCTGCATTGCGGTCGTCCGTATGGACGGCTTTGACAAATACAAGACGGGCAACAGATTTTTCCACTGCTTTTCAAACAGCAGCGCCCTTATCAAAGGATCCTTCAGATATGCCACATCCCAATCCAGTCCTCTCATGTGTGTATGAGACAACACAGTCTACTGGAAATGTTCAAACCAGGTTACACAGACAGTTCTCTTGTAAACTTCTGCAGTTCAGGAAGATGAAAAGTTGGAACTTTATGAACCAAAGATCATTCGGTCATGAATAGAAGGGCTGGATTGATCTTCAAGAACACCTTGAGTGGACGGATCTCAATGTTCCTGTTTGATCATTCCTCCTGGACAGATCTCAATGTTCCCATTTGACCATTCCTCCTGGACAGATCTCAATGTTCCCGTTTGACCATTCCTCCTGGACAGATCTCAATGTTCCTGTTTGATCATTCCTCCTGGACAGATCTCAATGTTCCCGTTTGACAATTCCTCCTGGACGGATCTCAATGTTCCCGTTTGACCGTTTCTCCTGCATTCTAGAGGACTCACATCAACGAACAACAACAATGAAAATGTTCTCTTTCTCAGTGAGGTTTTCAGACATTGGCGAAACAGATCAAAGAAAAAGGGTAGTTGGTCCCTGAAGGGACTTTACAAAAAGCTCACAGTTACAATTCACTCTCAATTTAAATCCACTCTTATTGCAAATTCAGAAATGATCTCACAATTAGAGTGAGTAAAAGGGTAACTACTATAGAGTTAGGAGCACCGTAACTTAGCATCCGTATCACAGGTCAGCACCTAGCTATAATTACTAACTGCAGGGACAAATTAACCAAATCAAAAAGATGCCTTCACTTCGGTCCCCGGGGACGGCTTGAGCGAGCGGTTAAATCACCGCCTAGTTCTCAGTGCATTAGCATGCTAATGGTCTTTACATTGAGCTCCTTTGTTTTTTAATTAAGCTCCCAGCAGGTATGGGAGGGAGAGGGAGAGCGAGAGAGAGAGAGAGAGAGAGAGAGAGAGAGAGAGAGAGAGAGAGAGAGAGAGAGAGAGAGAGAGAGAGACGGAGAGATCAAGAGGAGAGCAGAGGATATAGACAGAGATAGAGAGATGATGAAGGAGAGAGGGAGGGAGGGGTGCGATCCAGATCTTCAGGGGGCTCTAAGTATCAGTAGAATTCAGCCATTCCTGCCCCGTCTATGAGAATGTCCCAGGTACACTAATACAATGACTTCTGGGAACTGCACCATACACACACATACAACTTCAACAAAATACAAACTATAGTGTCTTACATAGGCCTAAGGAGGCAACAAGGCCTAAGGATGCAACAAGGCCTAAGGATGCAACAAGGCCTAAGGAGGCAACAAGGCCTAAGGAGGCAACAAGGCCTAAGGTTTGCAACAGGCCTAAGGATGCAACAGGCCTAAGGATGCAACAAGGCCTAAGGAGGCAACAAGGCCTAAGGAGGCAACAAGGCCTAAGGATGCAACAAGGCCTAAGGATGCAACAAGGCCTAAGGAGGCAACAAGGCCTAAGGATGCAACAAGGCCTAAGGAGGCAACAAGGCCTAAGGATGCAACAAGGCCTAAGGAGGCAACAAGGCCTAAGGAGGCAACAAGGCCTAAGGATGCAACAAGGCCTAAGGAGGCAACAAGGCCTAAGGAGGCAACAAGGCCTAAGGAGGCAACAAGGCCTAAGGATGCAACAAGGCCTAAGGAGGCAACAAGGCCTAAGGAGGCAACAAGGCCTAAGGATGCAACAAGGCCTAAGGAGGCAACAAGGCCTAAGGAGGCAACAAGGCCTAAGGATGCAACAAGGCCTAAGGAGGCAACAAGGCCTAAGGATGCAACAAGGCCTAAGGATGCAACAAGGCCTAAGGAGGCAACAAGGCCTAAGGATGCAACAAGGCCTAAGGATGCAACAAGGCCTAAGGAGGCAACAAGGCCTAAGGAGGCAAAAAGGCCTAAGGATGCAACAAGGCCTAAGGAGGCAACAAGGCCTAAGGAGGCAACAAGGCCTAAGGATGCAACAAGGCCTAAGGATGCACAAGGCCTAAGGAGGCAACAAGGCCTAAGGAGCAACAAGGCTAACGGATGAACAACAGCTAAGAGGCAAACAAGGCCTAGGTATGGCAAAAAAGGCCTAAGGATGCAACAAGGCCTAAGGAGGCAACAAGGCCTAAGGAGGCAACAAGGCCTAAGGATGCAACAAGGCCTAAGGATGCAACAAGGCCTAAGGATGCAACAAGGCCTAAGGAGGCAACAAGGCCTAAGGAGGCAACAAGGCCTAAGGATGCAACAAGGCCTAAGGAGGCCAACAAGCTAAGGATGCAACAAGGCCTAAGGATGCAACAAGGCCTAAGGATGCAACAAGCCTAAGGAGGCAACAAGGCCTAAGGATAACAAGGCCTAAGGATGCAACAAGGCTAAGGATGCAACAAGGCTAAGGATGCAACAAGGCCTAAGATGCAACAAGGCCTAAGGATGCAACAAGGCCTAAGGATGTAACAAGGCCTAAGGATGCAACAAGGCCTAAGGATGCAACAAGGCCTAACGAGGCAACAAGGCCTAAGGATGCAACAAGGCCTAAGGATGCAACATGTACCAGGACGAGCATCATATAACCAAGCCACAGAGCCACCACAGAGCCACCACAGAGACACCACCAAGCCACAGAGCCACCACAGAACAACCACCAAACCACAGAGACACCACAGAGACACCACAGAGACACCACCAAGCCACAGAGCCACCACAGAGCCACCACAGAGCCACCACCAAGCCACAGAGACACCACAGAGACACCACAGAGACACCACCAAGCCACAGAGCCACCACAGAGCCACAGAGACACCACAGAGCCACAGAGACACCACCAAGCCACAGAGACAAACCACCAAGCCACAGAGCCACCACCAAGCCACAGAGCCACCACCCAGCCACAGAGCCACCACCAAGCCACAGAGCCACCACAGAGCCACCACCAAGCCACAGAGCCACCACCAAGCCACAGAGCCACCACCAAGCCAGAAGTGGATCATAGTAGCTAAATAAACAAATGATTCATAAG